AAATTTTTAACGTTTATTTATTTTTGAGAGAGAAAGCGCAAGTGGGAGAGGGCCAGAAAGAGGGAGACAAAGGATCTGAAGCAGGCTCTGTGCAGCGAGCGCAGACCCTGACGCAGGGCTCAAACTCATGAACTGTGAGATCATGACCTGGGCCGAAATCAAAAGTTGGCCACTTAACCAACTGAGCCTCCCAGGCACCCCAGTATTTATTTTTGAGAGAGGGAGAGAGACCAAGGGCACAAACACAAGGTGGGCAGACGGGAGGAGCAGAAAGAGGAGGAGAGGGACAGAGAGCGAGGGAGAATAAGAATCCCAAGCAGGCTCCCTGCTGACCATGCAGAGCCAGACTTAGGCCTTGATGTCATGAACTGTGTGATCATAACATAAGCCGAGATCAAGTCAGAGGCCTAACCCAGTGAGCTACCCAGGCACCCCTGGGGAATAGATATTATTAGCCCTACTAACATTAAGAAAATCTAATGAGTGGAAATACAGATGGATGTAAATTTAACAAATGGTAGTAATGTTATATAGCCTTTCCTGTTAGTGTTCCCATTGCATTTTAGGTTCTGTTGGTACTCATGTATAATCATTTTTTCTTTTTATTTTTAATGTATAATCCTTTCTTTCATTCAACAAATATTTATTGAGCACTTGCTATATGCCAAACCTTGTCTTAGGCACTGGGCACTGGGACACAGCAGTGAACAAAACAATCCCTGTACTCCTTAAGTTTATATTATGATGGGGTAGGGGAAGACAAACCAGAAAATAAATAAGAAAAATATAAAGTTAGTAAGTGGTGATAAACGCTGTAGAGTAAAATCCAATAGGAAAAGCAGATAAAGAAAAGGAGTGTGTTTCAGTTTTACACACAGTGGTCAGTCTATCATCTGATGTTGTTTGTGGCTCTTCCCAAACAAGGATAAAATCTTACTTGCATTTACCTTCCAACACTCAGGGAGCCAACAACTTTATGTCCAATAAATGATAAGCCTGAGAAGAGTTGGGAAACAAAGGCCTGTAAAAAGATATTGACCGTAAAGGGCATAAATTGAAGAATCATTTATGACTAGTTTCACTTAGTTGCATTAATTTAGTTTCATTTCCATTAATAAGTGAATTTCTTTTCAGCACCTTTGCATTACAGAATGAAAGTTGTGTTCAAAGTTCTTACAGGCTATTTTAGGTATTTCAAGTATCTTTAGCCCCCTCTTTGGCTCTACTAGTGAGCACAAGGGGTGTGCGCGTGCACTTAAAAAAAAAAAAACAACACACCACGCCCTCTGGCAGTTATTTCTTGGTATCAAGAATAGCTGTTTTCCAGGGGAAAGTTAGCATTTGGGAGTTGGCACTAACGTGCTAGGTGAAGCCCCGTTAGCAGTCCATCCCACCTCAACGAGCCACAAAACAAGCCTGTACGCCCGGAAACACAAACTACAAAAAGTGAGAATCTAACAACCCCAGCGCCCCGCGCAGCGGAACCTTGACCTCAAGATGGCGTCTCGTAGTCATAAGATTCAATCAGCTCCAATCAAAAATGGCAGGGTGGGTCGTAATTTACAGTTCGAGCCTTTCTAGTCTCCACCAGGCTCTCCTTCTCTATGGTTATTGGCCGCTGCGTGGTGATTCAGAGCCAAAGGGAAGACTATCTATACACGTTCTTCTCTATGATTCTCCTCTTCAGTCGGCCTGGCCGCAGTGCATGCCGGGCAAGAGGAAGACCTCCAGAAGCTCCCCGCGCAGCGCGGCTGTGTTTGCGGCCTGTGCGAGTAGGCGCTTCGGAACCAGTCTCCCGGCGAGCGGTGCGCAGAAACCTCGAACCGGTGGAGCCCACTCGTAACCTGGAGCCCGGAAGGCCGCGAAGACCGTACTGTTTTCTCAGCGGCGGTGAGTCCACGCCTCTGAACGCGTGTGGGAACCGGGAGACCCGGGAGACCGGGAGTAGGGGAAACCAGGGAGGGTGCGAAAGGGCCGGGGTGGGATTGGGGGTGAAGAGGTGTTGGGGTGGGGGAGGGGGCTGGCACGAGGCTTGGGTTTCTTCACTTCTCTAAGGCCTCGAAAACCAGTGGGCCCAGCAGGAACCCGTGGAGGCCGGGACCTACTGCCAGAGCTTTCCTCCTTGCATTGTCGCCCACTTTCTCTTTCCCTCCCACGGCCCGTCACTGAGTGGATCGCCTGGGCCTTTTCTGGGCTCCACGTTTGCCACAAAACGATCGGTCTGCCCCTGGGGAGCCCTTCCCTGAGGCCCCTTTCTAACCCGAGCCTGGGGAACCTTACTGTAGATTTTCCGGGCCTAGGACACTCTTGCCCCAGGCTTTGCCCACAAGCCAGAGAGCAGCCACCCGTTTTAGCGAGGTGCCGGCCACCAACGGATTTCTTTCCCTTCCTCTTTGGTCATCCAGAGCCCTCCACCGAGTGCACTCCCCCACACCCACTCCGGATTCAGCTAATGCCCACCTTTTTTGGCACCCTCTTGGTTTGCTTGTCTAAGATTGTGATGAGTATTGTGGTCCTGCCCCCTTCCTCCTTTGGAGGTTGCAGTAAACTATATCCCCATTCATTCTAGGCGATGACCAAGCTCCACATTAAAATGTGTTACTTCTTTCTTACTCTTCTTTGGTCTTCAGTACTTTTTAAATACGTTTTTCGAAGTAGATCTAGGAGTACGAAGATTATTTTGAAGTTATGTAATGTGGATATTTATATTGCCATGGAAAAGCCATTTTGATCCTGGGCAGAGAGGAGCAGACCAAAAGGAGGGAAGAGATTGGACTTCTCTTGTACCAGACTGCTCTAGTATGAAGTACTGTGAATTAGGTAGTTGGCAGTGGAGTATAAACAATTTTTATATGGTCTTGGGAACTTTGATTTTTAAAAGCTTTCCAAAAACATTCAGGGGCCTTGAAAGACATTCAGTTGGTCCTCATGATTCAAGCAGATACTATACTATTCTAATCAATCTAACTTTTCTTGAAGCTTTGGTTTTTCTTCATCTGTAAATTGAGGATTATAAAAGTATCCACTTCATAGGTTATTGTTATTAGGGATTAATTGAGAAAGAGTATGTAAAATCCTTAGTGCGATGTCTAAGTCACATAGTGTTTAGTTTGCATTAACTGATACTGTTATTTAAGAGATTTCAGTGAAGTACAAGAGCCTGATCCTGACTCTTAACGTTTCGTCCAATGTACTCTGAATAGACTTTTCTAAATAAAATCAAAGTTAACCCTTAATAAAAAGTTTCTTCTTGGTATGTTATTACTAGAAAGAGGCATTGTGATACAGTGAAAACAGCCTTTGGATTGGTAATTTCAGGATAGTGGGGACCTTGGAGTCCCCACTCACTTATTGTGTTTCCATGGACAAAATAGCTTCTTCATCTGTAAAAGGACAATAATATATCTACACCAGGTAATTTGGGAGATTCAGTGAGATAATGTATGTTGAAGGCTTTTGTAAACAGAAATAAATAAAATGTTAGTTAATACTTTTATTAAATAATAATTCTTCTTGGAGTTACCGGATTCCCATTTCTGGTCTCCAAAATATGGTTTTTCCTGTATGTATGTATGTATGTATGTATGTTTGAATGTTTGATTCCAAAACATTTCTAGTAAGAAAATGTTTTCATTGTCCCAATGTTGCATATAGGCACTATATGTTAATAATAGTTTGGGCCAAGTTGTTTTTTTTTTTTTTTTTTTTTTTTGTGGTTTGGTATCTTTTTATTTTACTGTGTTAAGGCTTTAAATCTGTTATTAAAATAAAATGAGTTCATTTTAATATTGGTAATTACTTCAGACCCGATATTAGTTTGGGATTTTCAAGTAACTTCTTGGGTCACTGATTAGCTATATAGTTTTTTCATTTATATACGATTTAAATTTTTTTTTTTTTTTCAACGTTTATTTATTTTTTTGGGACAGAGAGAGACAGAGCATGAACGGGGGAGGGGCAGAGAGAGAGGGAGACCCAGAATCGGAAACAGGCTCCAGGCTCTGAGCCATCAGCCCAGAGCCTGACGCGGGGCTCGAACTCACGGACCGCGAGATCGTGACCTGGCTGAAGTCGGACGCTTAACCGACTGCGCCACCCAGGCGCCCCTCATTTATATACGATTTAAAGAAAAATTGTATTGACTATTTTGTAACTTTGGAAGCAGAAGTAGTCATCAAATCTTTTAACGTCTTACAAAAACATTCTGTGTATTTTGTTGAACCTCTTGATAGTCTTTTCTGACAATTACCACTGCCATTCCTAAGAGGATTTCGATTGATTATCCCTTAAAGTTTTTGAATAGCTTTTCTCTTGCTTTTTAAAAAAATTTTGAAACTTCAGAAAATAAAAAGAACATAACATTTACACCACCAGAATTACTGATACTGCTTTTTAGAACTTAATCAGCACAATTTCAAACTTCAAAAAAGTTGCAAGAATAGTAGAAAGAATTCTTAAATAGCTTTTCACCCAGATTCCCCAAATGATAACATTTCACAAATTTACTTTATCCTCTCCTCTTTTTCTTCATAGTTTTCTTCTGAAATGTTTTGCTAGTAAGCCACAGATGAGGTGTCCTTTAGCCCTTAAATACTTAAGTGTATATTTCTTAGAATAAGGGTATTTTCATATTTAATAGCAGTACAGTGAACAAAATCAGGAAATTAATATTGATTCAATATTATCTAATTTACAGGTCTTAATTGGATTTAGCCTGAACTTGTTCTGAATTGATATTGCTTTTTTTTTTTTTTTTTAAATTTTTTTTGAACGTTTATTTATTTTTGGGACAGAGAGAGACAGAGCATGAACGGGGGAGGGGCAGAGAGAGAGGGAGACACAGAATCGGAAACAGGCTCCAGGCTCCGAGCCATCAGCCCAGAGCCCGACGCGGGGCTCGAACTCGCGGACCGCGAGATCGTGACCTGGCTGAAGTCGGACGCTTAACCGACTGCGCCACCCAGGCGCCCCTGCTTTTTTTTTTTAAAGCAACTTTACTAAGGTGTAATTGATACATAAAATACACTTGTTGTAATGTGCAATTTGATGATTTTTAGTAAGTGTTCAGAGTTGTGTGACTGTTACCCCCAAAAGGATCCTTCTTTCCGGTTTGCAAGTCACTCCCTGTTCCCACCTCAGCTCCAGACTACCACTGATTTTTCTCTGTAAATAGTATCGCTTTTTAATCATTGAAAATGGTAAAACCGCAAAGTGGAAAGCTAAGAAAAAGATCACGTCCCTTTTTTGGAGACTTAAAACACGAGTATTTTCATACCTCTGAAAAGCTTTCCTGCAAAAGAAACATTTTGTTAATCAAGCATTTCCTATTCTTCTTTGGATATGGAATACTCTTTCCTAGGAATAGTTCCCGAAGACCACTTCTGTAGAAATTCAGTTTGAGATGCGGTTTTGAGGGGCTTGCTTTCCTTAGGCTGGGACGGGTATGTCAGTCCATTGTATCTTGTAGGCTGTAAGCAGAGCAGGGAACAATACACGCTACAGTATTGATCACTTATATTCAATGAAGAGCTACTGGACTGGCAGTGTAACTGTAGGAAAATAATGTTTAGAAAAGAATCTGACACACAATTGGAGCTAGATATTTGTTGAATGAATGAGTTGTATAAGTATTTGTTCAGGAGAATCTGTTGGTTCATTTGCCTCTTACCATTTAGAAATTTGGCACACTGGGTCTGGATGGGGTTAGCCAGTAAATCTATTCTGGGTGAAATATTTTTTCTATTGGGATAAATCTGCAATGGAGGAATGGTTATTAGCAGTAAATGGTGTGAGAAAAGGAGTGATTTAACAGCATAAGGAGAAAAAAAAACATAAAGAGGAAAAAGTGAAAAAAAGAAAAGCAGAATGCACGCGTATGTTGAGTGGTAGGGGTACATGTTATTTAAAGTTTTTTTTTTTGGACAGAGGAAACTAGATTTATTGAGATAAAATTTACATACAATAAAATGCACCCATTTAATTTCAGTGAATTTTGACAAACGCGTAATAAATCTGTATGACCACTGCCACACTAAAGTAGGCACTAAAGATAGGGAATACTTGCATGATAGGTGCTCATTTTGTTACTTTGGGCTATAAGGTTTCATACTGAGCCGGTAAAAATGCTTTGAGCCTTCTAGGGGCGCTTGGCTGGCTCAGTGGGAAGAGCATGTGGCTCTTAATCTCGGGGTTGTGAGTGTGAGCCCCACGTTGGGTGTAGACACTGCTTAAAAATAAAATCTTACTAAAAAAAAAAATGCTTTGAGCCTTCTAAAAGTGAAGCCCTCCAGAGTGAAAGTGAAAAATACAAGTATTTTGTAAATGTTACCTAAATCATTTCAGTGCTAATAAAATAACCTTTGCAACTCTCTTTTTCTTAAACTCCTTGTGTGATCCCTCAGCAATTGGCTACACTTGAAATACGTACATCCAGAATCTAACACTTTCACCACCTATTCCAGACCACCCTCTCCTGTCTGTATTATTATAGTAGTCCTTTGCATCTCCACTTGTTCTCCAGTCTCATTAACACAGTGGCCAGTGACGCTATTAAAATGCCAGTCTTACTAACACAGTGGCCAGTGACGCATTTAAAGTGTAAGTCAGGTCAAAAGCCTTTCAAATGTTTTCCATCTCAGAGTAAAAATCAAAACCGTTGCAGTGGCCTACTAAGTACTACATTCTGTGAGCCCGCTCCCCCAAGTAATACTTGGCATTTATCTTTGCTTTCCTCAAGTACTCTGCTCCAGCTGTTGGCCTTGTTTTTCCTCCCACAAAACACTGCATGATCACCTCAGGCTCCTATATTTGCTGTTTTCTTTGCTTGGAAGGCTGTTGCCTCCATATATGAGGCTTCCTGTCTTGGCCTCTTTGGAGTCTTCGTTCAGTTTGCCTATCTTCTTTGTGAGGCCCAACCACCATATTTAAAGTAAAGTGCTCCCATGTTCTTTTCCCTACTTTATTCTACAACGTACCTACCAACTTTTTGTTGTTGTTATTTTATTTTTTTAACTTACATCCAAGTTAGCATATAGTGTGTCAATGATTTCAGGAGATTCCTTAATGCCCCTTACCCATTTAGCCCATCCTCCCTCCCACAACCCCTCCAGTAACCCTCTGTTTGTTCTCCATATTTAAGAGTCTCAATGTTTTTTCCCCCTCCCTGTTTTTATATTATTTTTGCTTTCCTTCCCTTTCCTTGTGTTCATTTGTGTCTTAAAGTCCTCATATGAGTGAAGTCATTTGATATTTGTCTTTCTCTGACTAATTTTGCTTAGCATAATACCCTCTAGTTCCATCCACATAGTTGCAAATGGCAGGATTTCATTCTTTGTGATTGTTGGAGTAATACTCCATTGTATATGTATAGTATATCTTCTTTACCCATTCATCCATCGATGGACATTTGGGCTTTTTCCATACTTCGGCTATTGTTGATAGTGTACCTACCAACTTTGAATCTCCATATAATTTATTATGAGAATGTTATAATTTATCAACTGTAGGTAAAAACTGATCAGCTTTGCTTACGGTTATAAAAGTATTCTTAGTCATTTTCACACATGCCAAAACATAAAAGTTTATGTTGAAAAAAGTGGTTGATACTCTCACTTTAGGGTGTTTAAAGTGAACATTAATATTGGTCAGTGATCATCAGAATTGTTTGTTTTCTGACCATAGGAGGGACCATTATCTTATTAAGATACCTTTCTTTACCTTTGAAGTTTCACCTATGAATAAGCAAGTTTTGGATGGTTTTAAATGAAAGGGACATATAACAAAAATTAGAAGTGAATAGAATGCATACGTTAGCATAAAACATATAATCTGGTTATTCTTACAGAATGAAGTATACATTTAAGAGCCACGAAATACAATTGAAACACCAAGAACATAAAGGGTTTTAAAAAAATGGTTACAGCTTAATACTTGGCAATAAATTCATGCTCCGGTCTTTGTAAAAACATTGTGAGGCTAGACACTGGGTCATTGCTAGCATAGAAATTGGCACATGGGAGCTTGTTAATAAATTTGTTTACTGATTCATTCACTAATTTATTTATTCAACAGGTATTAATACCAACTGCCCTCCTAAGAAAGTGCTGAGATAGAGTATTATAATGATAATAGAAGAGCTTCTGTAAGTAGGACAGTAGCCCTCTTTTGAAAGGAGATACACTTCTGCCCCCTCCTGTAGAATGTTTGTTTTTATTTTTGGGCAAAAAGTATTACAAAAAGATTAAAAATTCAACACATTTATAATATTAAATTAGTTCCATTTTTCCTTTTTAATTTATGCTGATGCTTAAGATTTTAAAGCATTTTCCAGTACCTTATTTTCTAAGTGTATGAAATTGTAGGAATTTGTTTTACCTGTAAAGCTTTGTAAATATTTTAAGTGTACTGTGTTTTCTGAAATGGAAGTTTAGACTTTATAGAATTATCCTAAATAATCCTGTATTATCCTAACTTATTAAGTCAACACTGAGGAAGAACAGCTGTGAGCCTGAAGGACATGCTTATCTAAGACTGTTTTAAAGAAAAGTCTAATAAACAGGTAAAAAGATACTCAACCTCATTAGTGATTAAGGAAATACATATTGAAATGAGAGTATTTTTTACCTATGAGACTGTTATAATTTAAACACTGATTTACTCCAGTGATGTTGAGGATCTGAGGAAAGGGCATACATACCCATGTATTGGTGGTGAGGATATAAATTTGTACGTTAGTTTTGGAGGATGATTTGGAGGTAAAGTGTAGATGCATACAGTACTAAGCTGTGTTATAAAATTATTTGCACAGGTGCATAGATTTATATATCCAGTATGTCTAGGAATGTTCAATGTTATTTGTAAGAGGCAAAATGTGGAGCCAATCATCCTTGTTGATTGAATGATTATTGTATACCTGTATTATGGTAGTTTACTGCATTATAAAGGTTGGGATAGAACTTTGTGAACTGATATGAAGAGATGTTAATGATAATGAAGGAGAAATGCACGTAACAATATAGTATGATTATACTGTTTGCAGAAAAACACAAATAATTATATGTTAGTTTGTGTATAGAAAGCTATTTAGAAGAATACAACGGTATATACCAAACTGTTGGGATTAGGGGGCGAGGAAGTGGAAGACATGCACTTTTTATCTTCTCTCTTCTGAAGGGTGAGTAAATCAGTGTATGAAATACACACACAGAAATAGTACAAATGTTCTTTAAAAGCTTCAAATAACTCTAGACCCCTTCAGTTGTAGAGTGTAGGTGAAATTTTTCCTAGTATCCAACAAACATCCTGTTCATTAAATTGCTACTATTTAGTGCCATCACTGATACGGGATCACTGATTTTGGCTGCTTTTTAAAATTGGTACATGTAATCTTCCTAGGGCATCACATTTTCTTTCTACTTTTTCTTATAGTTCTGGACACTCAAGTATGTTGATGAAAATATAAAATTTGGTCATAAAGGAGTCTTAAATACATTCATTTAGCTAAAACACAAAATTAAATTTCTTTTAAGTAATATAAATCAAATGAAGCGATTCAGTGTATTCTTACATTAAATCAAATGCTAACATCTGATTCTTGAATTTCATTCATTCATTGAATTTCATTCAAGAATGGTTAAGAGTTTTGCTTTTATCAAAAATTATGACATCTTTCTCACTGTCACAAATTTTATGTTCTTTATATCTGAATGGTTACCATGTGACCTGATGTCAGGCGGTTTCTTCCCCCTCAGGTTTATAGTTTACTGAGACAGTCATTTGTCCTTGAGGAACTGGCCAACATTGAGTCAACAAATACTGCGTAACTTTGTACATTTAGTTTTCAGGGTGCTGATGTGTGTAAAAAATGACTGCGTCAGAACACCTGAAAAAAAACTGTTAGATAACCTTCCTGGATTCTGAGTTTGGTTTAAAAAGATTCGTTGATGTTTGGTTTTTAATTTTTGGATATTAACTGAACCTCAAAATTTTTTTCTTCCTTTATATGTATTCCCACATGATTGTAGGAGTCTATCCTGAATTTAGATCGTGTACATTTTGGGAACTTATTTTAGAAAAGATCTAAGTTTTAAAAATTCTCAATGGACAGACAGAGAAAAGAGGGTCTTTGCCAACTACTTTGGGTAAGAAAACTTTAGAATTTTGCAGATACTCTAAAAATGAAGGCCAACAAACCAGGCATATCAAATTGCAAAGATTTCAAATAAAATGATTTGTCATGATTTTTTTCTTTAGACCGCTGCAGTAAGAATGTCTTTTCCCCCTCATTTGAATCGCCCTCCCATGGGAATCCCAGCACTCCCACCAGGGATTCCACCCCCACAGTTTCCTGGTTTTCCTCCACCTGTACCTCCAGGTAAGTTTGTGGATATTGTTGTTTCTTTAACCTGCAGTTTCATCATTACACTGTTAACTTTAGGAAAATGATATGTGTTAGTAGTAAAGATGTCTGTTAGCATCCTTTTGTAAATGTGATGTATCATTTTCCTGTGGCAGTACTTTTCATCTCTGGGTGAGTATCAAATTCATCTGGGGAGGTTAAAAAAAAAGAAAACCCTTTATTTAAAAAAAAAATATAGGGGGGTGTCTGGGTGGCTCAGTCAGTTGAGCGTCCGACTTCAGCTCAGGTCATGATCTCTCAGTTCGTGAATTCGAGCCCCGCATCAGGCTCTGTGCTGACAGCTCAGAGCCTGGAGCCTGCTTCAGATTCTGTGTCTTCCTCTCTCTGCCCCTCCCCCACTCATGCTCACTCTGTCTCTGTCTCTCTCTCTCTCTCTCTCTCAAAAATAAACATTAAACAAAAATTTAAAAAGGCAGTACGTTCGTATGGTTCAGTCATCAAAAAGGTATACAGTGAATACTTTTCCTTGAATTCCTACATAACTTACTACTATCTCTTACCGAAAGAGGGAAACTTATTTTTATTTAACTTTTTTGTATTTAAAAAAATTTTTTTTAACATTTACTTATTTTTGAGAGAGACAGAGACAGAACGTGAGTGGGGGAGGGGCAGAGAGAGAGGGAGACACAGAATCCGAAACAGGCTCTAGTCTCTGAGCTGACAAAGCCCGATGCAGGGCTCAAACTCGTGGACTATGAGATCATGACCTGAGTTGAAGTCGGATGCCCAACCGACTGAGCCACCCAAGCGCCCTGAGAGGGAAACTGTTTTAAACAGTCATTAGTTTCTTTATTCTTCTAGATACTTTTTAGTACATATTACATGCCATCACAAGTATATATTCTTTTATCCAATGTTTTTTTTTTTCTTAATGTAGGTGTATAGTAGCATCCTATATGTACTGTTCTACCCCGTTTTTTATGCTTGATAATATATTTTGGAGAGCTTTCCAGATAAAAGCTTCCTCTCTCCAAAGCTCTTTGAGGTCCAAAGAAAAAGAATTTTTTTTTTCAGGCCCTACTCCAACCCACTGATTCAGATCCTCAAGGTAGTGGGGCCTAGGAATGTTTATTTTCAGTAAGTTCATAGGCGGATCCTAAGGATCTATTTAAGCAAAACTAAGAGAACCCACATTTGAGAACCATTATCTTTTTATTTTTATTTTTTAACATTTATTTATTATTGAGAGACAGACACAGAGTGTGAGCAGAGGAGGGGTAGAGAGAGTGGGAGACACAGAATCCGAAGCAGGTGAGAACCATTATCTTGAGGTACATTTTAACATTGCTTGGCCTAGAGAGCAAGAGTTTTCCTTTGGTTTATGGGCAGTAGTTCAGATATTTTTAACAGGGCTGAAAAAATTTTATACAAAATCACCTTCTCTTCCAAAAGACAGTATCTTAAGAGCTGTCCTTAATTTGTATGTGAAAAGTTTTGCTTTTCTTATGTTTGCTTTTTTGCTGAAATCAGCAAATGATCCTGTAAATAATCCAGAAATATTTGAGGAAAGCTTTTTTTTTAATTAAAAATTTTTAAAATTAATTTATTTTGAGAGTGAGTGAGTGCATGCAGGGGACGGGCAGATGGGGAGAGAGAGAATCCCAAGCAGGCTCTGTACTGACAGCACAGAACCTAATGTGGGGCTCGAACTCACAAACGGTGAGATCATGACCTGAGCTGAAATCAAGAGTCAGATGCTTAACCGCTTAGCCACGCAGGCATCCTGTTTGAGGGAAGCCTTATATCAGAGACCTGTTTTTAACTATTGGATTATCTATTTGAAATTACAGTGTTTTACTGTTGAGAGATCAACAGTACATTGAAGTTGGCTCATAAGATGGGTTGTTAATTCACAACACATTCTATGGACTCAGTTTTGAGGCCTCCTACTCCTAGGGCAAGTATATAGCAGTGTTGGAGTAGGTATGAAAAGCCACAAGATAAACATGGCTGAGAGAGAGACAACGCGAGTGGGGTAGAGGCAGAGAGAGAGGACACAATCTGAAGCAAGCTGTCTGCACAGAGCATGATGCTTGAATCTACGAATCTCTAGATCATGACCTGAGCCAAAGTCAGACACTTAACCAACTGAGCCACCAGGTGTCCCCCATGATACATTTTTTTTTAAACAAAACCCTTGTGTTATATAGATTTATAGGAAAGAATAGTTTACTTTTTAAAAAATTTCTTTATGAAGAAATTTAAGGGATTGGGAATGAAGCATAATCACTTATTCAGAATCAGGAAAGATGACTGAAAGATCAGTGCCTTAATATCCCTACTAGTAGATTGGTTTTATAGAAAAGATTTAAATTCCTTTGATGGGGTACCTGGGTGGCTCAGTCGGGTTGAGCTTCTGACTCTTGACTTTGGCTCAGGTCATGATCTAATGGTTCATGGGTTTGAGTCCTGCATTGGGCTCTTCACTGACAGTGTGGAGCCTGCTTGGATTCTCTCTCTCCCTCTCTATCGCTGCCCCTCCTTGCTTGTGCGCACGCGCTTTCTCTCCGTGTGTGTGTGTGTGTGTGTGTGTGTGTGTGTGTGCGCGCGCGCGTGCGCGCTCCCTCCCTCAAAATAAATAAACTTTAAAAAAAGTTTAACTCCTTTTTTTTTTAAAGAGCAAATACTAAATTTAACCTTTTCTGATGAACATTATACCAAATTATTAAACGGAAGTAGAAGATAAATGAAACCTGTTTCTCTTAAGACTACTTTCTGCATATCTTTTAAAATGGGTCAGCAGGGGGCACCTGGGTTAATTGTCCAACTGTTGATTTTGGCTCAGGTTGTGATCTCACGGTTGGTGGATTCAAGCCCCGTGTGGGGCTCTTTGCTGACAGTGTGGAGTCTGCTTGGGATTCTCTGTCCCTCCCCTGTTCATGTCTTCTCTTTCTCTCTCTGTCTCTCTCTCAAATAAATAAGTGAACATTTAAAAAAAAAAAAAAAAAAAAGGTGGGTCAGCTGCTCCTGAAACCAGATTGTAAGTGTTTCTTCTTGCCTGTTTGGTCATTGCCATACTAATGTGGGCATTTATTCAGAATAACACTATTAATTCTGATTCTGTTTATAATAGCATACAGTATCATTTCTGTTCAGGGAAATATACTTGGGTGATAAATCAGACTTTAGTTGCAACTCATTGTGCATTCTTTGTAGAGCATCAATACTTTAAAAGGTAAATAATAAAGTAGTATGCTAAACTCGTGTAGTAATTCAAGACCACACATAACCCATGTTCATGAATCATTTTCTTCTCTTGCTTATTAATGCAATTAATTGCACTTTTAAGTGTGATGGTCAAATTCTATATTAAATTAGAAAATAAATTTGAAAAATAACCGTAATTTTTCCCTAAAGAGTAATATATGCATATAGAAAAAGAAAGTTTTTTCCCCATAGTTCTTGAGAATTCCCTTCCCCAAACATAGCCTTTCTTACCAGTTTGTAGTGTGCATGCTTCAGAGATGAACTATGCGTATCCTGATGTGTTTGCTTATGTATACTCTTTCCCTGCTTCTGTTTTTCTTTATTTTCTTTTAAATTAAAAAAAATTTTTTTTTGAGAGAGAGCAAGAGCATGGGCACACATGCAAGCCAAGGGAGTGATGGAGAGAGAGGGAGGGAGAGAATCTTAAGCAGGCTCCATCCTCAGCACATAGGGCTTGATCCCACAACCCTGGGATCATGACCTGAGCCAAAATCAAGAATCCTACACTCAAGCGACAGAGCCACCCAGGTGCCCTCCCTCTTATTTCTGTTTTTTAAAAACAGCATAGTATTGCACTGTTCACGCTTTGTATACTTAGCATGTATATATAGATCTTTGTAATGAGTAGTAATACATTCTCTATTATGAATTTCATACTGCATGAAATTTAGTAAGTTGGGCTAAGAAATGTATTATTCAGGGGTGCCTGGGTGGCTCAGTCGGTTGAGCGGCCGACTTCGGCTCAGGTCATGATCTCGCGGTCCGTGAGTTCGAGCCCCGCGTCGGGCTCTCAGAGCCTGGAGCCTGTTTCAGATTCTGTGTCTCCCTCTCTCTGACCCTCCCCCGTTCATGCTCTGTCTCTCTCTGTCTCAAAAACAGATAAACGTTAAAAAAAAAAAAATTTAAAAAAAAATGTATTATTCAAATTTTAGTAACTATTAAAAAGGAACAAACAATGGGGCACCTGGGTGACTCAGTTGGTAGAGCATGTTACTCTTGATCTCAGGGTTGTGAGTTTGAGCCCCGTATTGGGTTTAGAGCTTACTTTATTATTACTATTTTTATTTTTAATGTTTATTTTTGAGAGAGAGACAGAGCCAGAGTGGGGGAGGGGCACAGAGAGAGGGATACACAGAATCTGAAGCAAGCCCCAGGCTCTGAGCTGTCAGCACAGAGCCGAACTAGGGGCTTGGACTCACAAACTGTGAGATTGTAACCTGAGCCGAAGTTGGATGCTCAATCATGGGAGCCACCCAGGCACCCCTAGAGCTTACTTTAAAAGAAAAGGAAAAAACATTTTTTTTCTACTATGTCTTTCTGACTTTTTCTTTAACAGCTTACCTATGGAAAAGGTGCCATATAGATTACAGTTGATAAAAAGGGGGGAGGATTTATTTTTTTGTTTTACAAAGTGAAAACTTTAGATAGGTTGATGAATTCTCGTTTTGAGCATCCACTGTATTTAAGTGCTGCACACAAATGATCTCCGTAAGTCTCATAGGTACTCCGAAGAAATGATTACCTTACTACAGTTTAGGAAACTAGCTTAAGAGTTTGGCCATGGTGCATAGTTAGGCATGACATAACGATGAGTTGAACCCAGGTTTGATTCCGAAGTCTTTTATTTTTTTTTTAAGTTTAATTACTTAATCTCTACATTCAGTGTGATCTCACGACCCTGAAATCAAGAGTTGCATGCTCTTCCCACTGAGCCAGCCAAGCACTTCTGTGTTTTTTCCGTTTTTGTAATATTCTTTTGGTGTATTGATAGGAATCCTGATTTTTCTCATTTAAAAGTTATTTTAAGTGAGTTATATTGGAAGATAAATGGATAATGTTAAATGTTTAAGAATTTATTACCAGTCTTAGCTGGAGGATTCTTTTAAGTTGATGTTAAATTTGAACTGAAGAGCGACTTCGGAACTTCTTGAGATGTATTTAGAAGCATTTTAAAATTTATGTTAGAAAACTGGACAAAATCTTTCACTGATTTTTGCCCTCATTACATTCTTTTTCTTAGTACTCACATGGTAAGATTTCATTAGTTATATACACAAGGACACTTTATATAGTAGCCATTGATTGGTAAACAATATAGTTAAAAATGCAGATTTCACTACGATGTCAGTAATAGCCCATTAATCTCTCTTAAACCTTCAGAGCAGCAGATACTTGTCTTAGAGATTTTCTTTGACACTGACTGACATTCCTGGTCATATTTTTTGCGTGATTTATTTTGAATTTTTTTAAGTAATTAATTTATTTTTAATTTCTTTAAAGTAAGCTCTATGCACAACGTGGGGCTTGAAAACATGACCCCGAGATTAGGAGTCTCATGCTCCACTGACTGAGCTACCTAGGCTGCCTTATTTTTTTAATTTTTAGAGAGAGTGTGAGCAGAGGGGCAAAGGGAGAGAGAGAATCTTAAAGCAGGCTACACACTCAGTGCAGAGCCTGACTCGGGGCTCGATCCCATGACCCTGGGATCGTGATCTGAGGTGAAATCAAGAGTCGGACACTCAACTAACTAAGCCACCCAGGTGCCCCTGATTTTTGTTTTTATTAAAGAACCAGCAATAACACGATTCTATGTAGGTTTCCAGATTCGTTTCTCATTTGATACCTTTTTTTTTTTTTAACCTTTTGAAGGATTCATTAATACTGTTGTTTACCCATAAGTGAACTTGTATTTGTGTAAGTTACTGGCTTTCAGGATGTACTGAATCAGATGAACACGAATCAACAACTATAGAGTTTTTTAAACTTCTGAGACGAAAGCATATTGTGGCAGCCTTTTTGCTTTTTGAATAGCTTTTTTTTGTTGTTATGTAAGTTTATATGGACTGGTCTGATGCCCCATTGCTTTTGAAAATAAGGCATTCATCAATATCTCATTGTCATTAGTCCTGCATTTTTATCTGTTGGTATGGCACGTAGTTGATATAGAATGTAGTCTTATATACTTGTATTCTTACAATTTATTATGCTTTTTTCCTCAGGGACCCCAATGATTCCTGTACCAATGAGCATTATGGCTCCTGCTCCAACTGTAAGTACAATTTTAAGGAGGAATGAGGAGATACAGTAGTAATACTTCTTTTAAAGCTAAACAACTTGATAAAGTATTTTAATGTTTAAAAGAATGATGGGGAGTGAGAGCATCCATGTATTTGAGTATCATTTTCACTCAGCTATGCATATTATGCAGTTGCCCCTAAAATAGGCTCCTTAAATAGTTTTATGATTTCCCTCGTATTCTCTACACTCTTCATTTACTTGTTCTTTCAGATTTAGGACATTGGTTTTTTTCACCATTCTCTCATTTTGTCTTGGTCCTGGGAGATAGGAGAATGATCTGACATGCCTAATCTCATAAAAGAAAGAAAAAATACTGTAGGAATGATCTTAGCAGAAATTTAAATTCTGAAGTGAAATTTGAGTTGAATATATTTCCATTCTTTCCTCATAGCTACCTAATTTTTAGCCCCTTCCAACCTATTTTTTCTCTGTTGTCTGTTATGGTATCTTTAAGCTTTGTAAAGTTTTATTGAAGCCTTTACTCTGCTAAACTGTTTCATTTTCAGTCTTCTTAAGCCTTAATTCTTCACATTCATCAAAGCTTTTGTACATTCTCAGCATCTTCATTAAGAATGCTAACATGCTACTACACATGAATAAATAATAATGCTCTTAACTGTTATTTAGCCAGAATTTTTCTTTGAGTTAACTGGTAGAATATGAAGCTTCATTTGGAATTCTATGAGGGAGGGTAGATCTCATTACTTTCAACTGTTTCTCTACCTGTGGATTTTGAAATGGGAGGGAGAAGGAGGTGTTACCTATATTAAAAAGGAGATGGTAACTCTGTGGGGAAACAAATCTGCTGTGAGGCCAACCACTAAGAAGATACGGTTCTTCAGACCAAGGGGAGGTCTAATTTTTCTTGGATCAGATACCCATTGTTGGGGTATTTTGGAAAACCTCCACCTGACAGGTACTTACTGTCTTGCATTTCAGCCTAGGAAAAGGTGGGACTTGGGGTTTGGAGCAGCTCCCTCAGTTCACCACTCTTTATTCAGTGCCTTCTGTGGATGTTTTGCTAAATTCAGTTTCAGATGTAAAAATGAGTAAGATTGGTTCTCTGGGAAGTTGAAAGTTACAAAGGAAAAGTAAAAAATGCAACTGATAAAGGTAAAATTTAAGTTTTGGAGAATGCTGTGAGAGTATTTGAATACTCTTGTCAGAGGATTAGCAGGGATAATTGAAATTTGCTTTTATGTTTGTACAGAGTAGAGTTGTGACGGATCTCCTGGATATATTTGATAATTTTAAATGACTTATGATATCGTGGACATTTAAGAATTAGGTCTTAAATGTAAAGAAATTTCCATCCAAGTTATTTTTATTTTCTTTTCCAAGTTGTTTTTAAAAGAAAGGTTATCTAATAGTAGAACTTGTCGCAAATAATTTTGTGTTAATGAAAAATGATAGGAGCTTTAGATTAGGTATGTAGAACCTTTACTAATTGCTGTGTATGCACTACTTAAAAATTGTTGTTAGCTTAATGTTACATTAAACGTGATGGGAATTTAATTGCCAGGTCCAATTTTACTGCCTTTTTTTCACTCTAGGTTTTAGTACCCACTGTGTCCATGGTTGGAAAGCATTTGGGAGCAAGAAAGGATCATCCAGGCTTAAAGGCTAAAGAAAATGATGAAAATTGTGGTCCCACTACTACAGTTTTTGTTGGCAACATTTCTGAGAAAGCTTCAGACATGCTTATAAGACAGCTCCTTGCTGTAAGTGTTAAACTGTTTTTCATTTTTAAGTTTTATTATCGATTTCAAATTTATGAAAACGCAGAAAGGACTGAATAATCCTTTTCTGCTTTTTATTTTGAAAAATGTTCAATCCTGCAAAACAGTTGAGTGAATAGTATAGTGAAACACAATTTTGTTTTGCCACATTTATTTTCTACCCGCGCGTACACACACACCCCACACACATTTTTTCTGAATGATTGGAGATTAAGTTGTGATGTGATGTTTCATCTCTAAATACTTCCTGTTTTTCCTAAGATGGAGGACATTCTCCTATATGATCACAAAACCGTCATCATACTTAAGAAATTTAAGGCTGGGATACCTAGGTGATGCAGTTGGTTAAGCATCTGACTTGGGCTCAGGTCTTGATCTCAAGGTTGGTGAGCTCTAGCCTCACTGGGGATGAGCTCGAGCCCTCCCACTCCCACTCTCCCTGTCTTTGCCCCTTGTGGAATTCTCTCTCTTTCTCTCTTTCTCTGCCCCTCGCTCACTTGTGCGTTCTCTCAAAAAAAAAAAAAAAATTAAAGGCTGATACAGTATTTTTTCCCCCTGATATAATATTGTTAACTGAATGTATTTACAGTTCATATGTAATTTTCCCAATAATCTCCATAATTGCTGCATTTTGTTTATCTATGATTCAGTCAAGGATTATACATTGTACTGAATTGTTGTACTTTGTTGGCAGGGCAGAGACTGACATGAGGCTCATAAGAGCATAAGGTCACGACCTGAGCCTCATGACCTGAGCCAAAAATCAAGAGTTGGATGCTTAACCACAGAGCCACCCTGGCGCCCCTAGACATCTTCTCTAATACAGAATAGCTTCCTGTCTTTTGCTTGTTTGCTTGTTTTGTTTTTGTTTTTCATGACATTGACATTTTTTTAAAAAGGTTTATTTTTGAGAGAGACAGAGGGAGAAGCGCGAGCACAGGGAGGGGCAGAGACAGAGGGAGACAGAAAATCTGAAGCAGTCTCTAGGCTCCAAGCTGTCAGCGCAGGGCCCAGCTCAGGGCTCAGACTCACTAATTTTGAGATCGTGACCTGAACCAAAGTCAGATGCTTAACTGACTGAGCCACCCAGGTGCCCCTGACATTGATGTTTAAAAAAAATTTTTTTTAACGTGTATTTATTTTTAAGAGAGAGAGCATGGACAGGAGAGGGGCAGAGGATACAAAGTGGGCTCTGTGCTGACAGCCTGATGTGGGGCTTGAACTCATTAACTGTGAGGTCATGACCTGAGGTGAAGTCAGACACTTAACAGACTGAGCCATCCAGTTGCCTCATTGGTTTTCTTTTTTTCTTAGTTTAAAAATTTTTATCCTGGGACGGGTGGGTGGCTCAGTTGGTTAAGCTTCGGACTTTGGCTCAGGTCATGATCTCGCTTGTTAGTGGGTTCGAGCCCCATGTTGGGCTCTGGGCTGACAGCTCAGAGCCCTGAGCCTGCTTCAGATTCTGTGTTGCCCTCTCTCTCTCCCCTTTCTGCTCATGCTCTGTCCCATGCCCTCTCTCTCTCTCTCAAAAATAAACAGAAAAAAAAAAAGATTAAAAATTTTATCCTGGTGATAAATGCACTTTAAGTGAAATAATAATGATTTTATAATAAAAAACAACAGTGCCTGTACTCTCTCCCTCCATAATCTCCTCTGTTTTTTAAAGAAGTGATTTTAAAATCTTCTCCTTTTTGATTTTATTGCCATTTCTATTTTGTAGAGTGTATGATCCTTGAATTTAAAAATGTTTAGGAAATAAACACCACAAAACCTAGCTTCGTCAGATTCAATATTTTGTGATACTATCTCTAGATTTTTTTCTTAAGAGATAAATCATTACAGTTGGCCCCAATTCTCACTTCTTTTTTCACAGAGGTAATTATCAGAGGTAAACCACTATCCTAAATTTGGTGTTTATCATTCATGTGTGTATTTCTTACTTTAATTACATATTTATACATTCAGAAAATTTATAATTAAATTTTAATTCTATACTATATAACTTGTTTTTTTCACCTAATATATATATACCTTTAGTTTACTTATTGCTATGTACCATTGGATTGTAGTAATGTACCATGAATTTTAAATTTTCTTTTTTTCTTTAATTAATTAATTAATTAATTTATTTATTTATAGACAGGGAGAGAAACAGAGCATGAGCAGGGGAGGGGCAGAGAGAGAGGGAGACACAGAATCCGAAGCAGGCTCCAGGCTCTGAGTTGTCAGCACAGAACCCAATGTGGTGCTTGAACTCACACACCAAGAGATCATGACCTGGAATTTAAAATTTTCTAATGATAGTCTTATGGATTGTTTCTATTTCTTGACACTATGTTTTGCTGTATGATTACTGGTAATGTCATGTCTTCAGTGAACATGAAAAACTTCTGTCATGTATTCTCTTAGAAGTGGAATTTCTGAGTCTTATAGCATGTTTATCTTCAGTTTTACAAGATAATGCCAACTTTTTTCCGAAGGAATGTTGGGAGGACATTTTTAAAAAAAACATCTCTATTGTGACATAATACTTATACTTTAAAATTCACCCTTTCATAATAATTCAGTTGTTTTTAGTATATTCACAAAGTTGTACAAACATCACCACTAACTTCATTCTAGAACATTTTCATCACCCCAACTACAAAACCTGTACCCTGTAAGTCACTTCCCATTCTCTTCTCTCCCCAGCGTATGGCAACCACTATCCTACTTTCTGTCTGTGTAGTTTTGCCTATTCTGGGTATTTTACAGACAGAGAATCATAGGGTATGTGTGGCTTTTTGTGTTTTGTCTTTTCTTTTTTACTTAATGTTTTCAGGGTTCATCTACATTGTAGCTTATATCAGTATTTCGTTCCTTTTTATGGCCAAATATTCCATCTGATGGACATACCTCATTTTGTTTACCCATTCATTAGTTGATGGGCAGTTGGGTTATTTCCACTTTTTGGTTGTCGTGAATAACGGTGCTGTGAATATTTGTGTACAAGTGTGTGGAGATAATGTATATATTCTATTTGAAACATCTTTTTATTTTTATTTATTTTTAAAGTTTGTTTATTTTGAGAGAGAGAGAGAGAGAGAGATTGAGAATCCCAAGCAGGCTCTGTGCTATCAGCACAGAGCCTGATGCAGGGCTCGAACTCACTAGCTGTGAGATCATGACTTGGGTCGAAGTTAGATGCTTAACTAACTGAGCCACCGGGGCTCCCCTTTAAGTTTTTTTTTTTTTTTTTTTTTTTTTTTTAACGTTTATTTATTTTTGAGACAGAGAGAGACAGAGCATGAACAGGGGAGGGGCAGAGAGAGAGGGAGACACAGAATCCGAACAGGCTCCAGGCTCTGAGCTGTCAGCACAGAGCCCGACGCGGGGCTCAAACTCACGGACTGTGAGATGATGACCTGAGCCGAAGTCGGATGCTTAACCTATCAAGCCACCCAGGCGCCCCTCCCCTTTAAGTTTTAAGTAGGCTCTGTGACCAATGCAGGGCTCAAACTCACAACCCTGAGATCAAGTTGCATGCTATACTGAATGAGCCATCAGGGTACCCCTTATTTTTCTTTTAAGGCCTTAAATGTCTAGTGATCCTTGATTGTTTACATTTAAGAGTTAGGGATTAAAAGTCTTTTTGTGTGGAAATGCTGGGTTTGTAAAATGTTGAACATCATTGTAGGGTAATTTAGCCATCAGTTGATTGGTTTCATGCCTAGTGAGTATATGATTGGCTGCCCTTGTTACCCATTCTGTGTCCCTTCCTGATCTTTCATATCTGTTCTGTTCACTTTCTTCATAACTTCATTCTGTCTTTACCTGAGGATGGGGATAGTATAGTTTCTTATAAAGATAGCAGGCTATCTTCTCTGGGGGTGGAGATTAGAGTAGTTGCTTGAAAAGAACTCTGAAGCTTTGATTGTTCCCTATTCATATTGTCAGGCAAGCACCTGTTTTTATTCAGCTTCATTCTGCAACTCCATTCTCTACTGTACGCACCTTTTACCTCTAGTCTAGGTCCACTTGGCTTTGTAGTATCCATTAACCTAATTCTTTCTCAGTAGTATCTTCATCTGTTAACACTTGGGAGTTATGGCTTTCTTTGATAGACTGAATGAGTTCCCATCCTTCCATTTGCCTTTTGTCTTTTAAAATTTTTTTTAATGTTTATTCATTTTTGAGAGAGCATGAGTGGCGGAGGGGCAGAGAGAGACTCTGAAGCAGGCTCCAGGCTCTGAGCAGTCAGCACAGGCACAGGCACAGGGTCTGATGCAGGGCTCGAATTCACGGATGGGCAGATCATGACCTGAGCCGAAGTTGGTCGCTTAACCAACTGAGCCACCCAGGCGCCCCTTGCCTTTTGTCTTCTTAAAATTTTGTTGAATTCTGGTGCTGTTTCCCCCTGCAATGTTTGATCTCCTGGGTTTTTATCTTTTATATTCCTTGATTTTCATTTTATTGGTTTCTGTGAAGGAAGATGTGAAAAATACATGCATTCTCTTAGTTTTGACAGGCAGTCTTCAGTCACCATTTTCCACAAATAACTTTTTTTTTTTAACCTTCTAGCTTTTACTTTAATAATTAGAAATAATGTTGGGGCGCCTGGGTGGCGCAGTCGGTTAAGCGTCCGACTTCAGCCAGGTCACGATCTCGCGGTCCGTGAGTTCGAGCCCCGCATCAGGCTCTGGGCTGATGGCTCAGAGCCTGGAGCCTGTTTCCAATTCTGTGTCTCCCTCTCTCTCTGCCCCTCCCCCGTTCATGCTCTGGCTCTCTCTGTCCCAAAAATAAATAAACGTTGAAAAAAGGAGGATTTAAAAAAAAAAAAAAGAAATAATGTTTAAAAACTTTGCAAGTAAACAAAATAATGTTCTACTCTTCAGGTAACCTGCTCCACTCATATTTCTGATTTATCGAAAATTTTTTTCATTGCATAAATTCTTACTGTATATTTGCAATTTCATGTCCCATGTTATTTTTGTATCCTTATCAAGCATTTCCCCCTGTTACTAAAAGACTTTTATGATATAGGGGCGCCTGGCTGGCTCACTGGGTAGAGCATGCAACTCTTGATCTTGGGGTTGTGAGTTTGAGCCCCCACATTGGGTATAGAGATTACTTAAAAAAAAAATCTTTAAAAAGTTGTTTATAGTATATACATGTGTTTTAAAACATAATTTTTATGGACTAATTTACTTGAATTTTTTATAGTTTATTTTAAATACTATGATATTGGTAATTTTGGCGTTTTATATATTTTGGATAAGGTAAATAATGCTGTAAAATTTCTATATTAAAAGGTAGCCAATTTTCTGCAAATAAGAGAATCTGTAAGAATTTATTATTTTTCTTTTAAATGATGTATTATATATTTCTTTTATATAATAAGCTTGTGGGAATTGAGAGAATGTTAAGAAATTTAATAGCTGGTAAGATTTTTTTCTTTTTTCTTTTATTTTTCTCCTGGTGGAAATATGATTGTGTTCTTATTTTTATTACAAATTAATTTATTTTATTAAATGGTAATGATCATTTTTTGTTTTTTATTTTGAAGAAATGTGGCTTGGTTTTGAGTTGGAAGCGAGTACAAGGTGCATCTGGGAAACTTCAAGGTAGGTAATTCTTTCTTATTAAGATCATTTTAAGCTATATAGATAGCTTCTTACATGTTTGACTCTCATTTCCCTTAACCATGGAGTATTCTGTTAGCACTCTTTGTCTTCCTTCTTACTGGAATAGGATTAAAGGTGGTTGGAAAGATTTAGCTGGGAGTTGAGATTAGAAAGTGGAAAAGCATTAACAGGAAAGAGGTAGGAGAGAAAAAAATATTCAGGTTTTTTTTTTTACAGTATTGTCTTGAAAAGTCTGTTTTTCTCGGAGCAGGAGTGTATGATTAGCATTCAACACTTAGGAAGGAAGCAGGAGAACTGATGGTGAGATGACCTGTTTGTCTTAGAAGCAGGCTGTTCTTTCTTCTTGGTAAAAGCACCTGTTTGGTGTACATTATTCTTTTTTTTAATGTTTATTTTTGAGAGACGGGGTGGGAGTTGGGGGTGGGGGGACAGAGGATCCGAAGTAGGCTCCACATGGTGACAGCAGAGAGCCTGATGTAGAGCCAGAACTCATATACCATGAGATCATGACCTGAGATGAAGTCAGATGCTTAATGACTGATGTACATTCTTTTTTAAAGATTTTAATTTTTTTTTAACGTTTATTAATTATTAAAAGAGAGAGTTAGAGCGTGAGCAGGGGAGGGGCAGAGGGAGAGGGAGACACAGAATCTGAAGCAGGCTCCAGGCTCTGAGCTATCAGCACAGAGCCCGACACGGGGCTCAAACTCACAAACCGTGAGATATGACCTGAGCTGACGTTGGACGCTTAACCGACTGAGCCACCCAGGCACCCCGACTGATGTACATTCTTGAAACACTTTTTATTATGGAAAAAATCATGCGTATATAAAATTA